ACAAAATAGTCAAACATTCCTCAAAAACCAAAAGTCACTATGATTATATTGAACTACTTGATTGATCTTAATCAGTTTAAAGTAGTTCACACACCACCATTTAGCCATTGCAGGCTTCCTGTTCACATTCACAGGGTGTATGTCAGTCCAAGTATGAATATTACTTACAAGGAGTGTATCATGAGATGTACAAGTATAATAAACATTCCTCATGGCAAAACTGCATATAGATTTTGCTCAAGTAATTATATATTCAAGTTGTGGCCCAAAAAAGTAATTGTAAAGCTTCTGAAAATACTATCCATTCCTGTAGTTATCAGAAAACAAATCACCATCCAAAAATAGAAATTTTCTGGCTTTCCAGTCACAACGTACATTCACTCATATTCATCTTATATCAACAATATTCATAGTGCTAAAATATCACTAAAGAGTCATACCTAAGCAAAAGGCGTGCAGGCCCAAGTTCATAGCCTTGTCTAGCACGAGCACTGACCCTGTTGAAATACAGCCACTCGGGAAGGAAGGGAAGTCCTTGTTCCATGTTGAGCACAAACTGGAAGTAAAATGACAATGGAAGATCAAATAACAATCAGGCCAATGAAATCATCTAACATAATTAAATTAAAGGCTAAAAGAAGACCGACCATTGAGGAGCTACGATCACCAGAATCTGTATAGACACTTTCCAACTTTGCAATCAGCATTTCATCATAAGCATTGCCACTGAAATATCATGTGAACAAAAATATAAGATTCCAAAACACTTAACTACAAAGTGTACAACAATATACAAAGAAATTGCAGCATATTTATTAAACACTGAGGCTCAGATTGCCACTGAGAGGTAAATGAAGAACTAGATACCTAGCAGTTAATGGGTTGCTGTAGAAGTCTTTTATAATGGGTTCACCTTTATCATCACGAGCACCAGCACGCTAACACAGTATAAATTGCAATATACATTAGGGAGCAGAAATAAAAGTATAAACAAGAGAAAAGACGAGTGAATCAAGAATTACATACTAAGATCTTAAATTTTGTTGACATCATAAGATCTTAGCTTTTGCTTCTCTCTTATAAATGGTAGAAATTCAAGTTGCCTTATGCTACATAAGTTAAACTTGATGTGATCGTCATAATTCCCCTGTATATCGGATGGTATAAAAGTCCATGTGGTGCCAGGCTCTTCATGCAACAAATATGATGAACTGTTAAACCAACCAAAAAATTGGAAAAACCCAGCTGAACTGGAGGATCTAGTTAAGTTTGGTTCGGCTATTTTCTTTAAGATTGGATCAGTTTCAATTTCAGCTTAACTGGAGCATTTGTTAATGCCACCGTGCCACAACACGTCAACACTTTGCAAATTTTCCATTCCAAGAAATATATTGAGAGATGAGATGAGGTCATCAATCCAAGAGCAGAAGCTCAATGAGGTCGTCAGAATGCTGCCATGACTTCTTTAATGCTAAAAATTTTGCTCTCATCTTCTAGTGCCTAGACTAATAAAAAATAATAAAGATTTGGCATAGGGTAAGTATCTAATTTCTTGGATAATAAAATCTGACTAATGAATTCAACCAAGTGATCTGTGCAGTTCAGTTGGTTTTTCAGTTACTTGAACCAGTTTCAGGTTGTGTGATTGGAAAACTGAAACGGTTTATTTGGTGCAAAGCTCTCATGGATTTCCGAGCAGAAAAATACACCACTGCATGTATGACACCAGAGCATCAGTCATTGATATTATACAATGTAGAAACATTGATGCCAAAGAAAAGCACAATTTGGACAGTGTTAGTGGTGCCTGTGAAGCCTGAGATCCCACATCAGATAAAAGAATCCTACTAATCCAAGTGAACCAAACAAAGGCATCAGTAATTAAGTGAAAGAGGTTAAAAAATCCCAAAAATAATCCATACTGGATATAAGAAATTATGAATATTTAAAAATATTAGAACAGTAACTCTAGCGTATTCAAATCATGATGAGGATCAAGGAGTTATAATCCAGTTTCCATGTGGATGATAAATATCTTGGAAGCAAATCATATAGTTCCAGTGTCTTTAGAAAACTTACTGGTAAACAGTTTATGTTTCAGACACAATAAAATTAATTTTCAGATCATACAGACCGGTATCATTAGTGCGCTTACTACTTGATGTTCAGATCACTTACCCATGGACAGTAATGGCAATTTTGCCATTTCATATTAATTATCTAGACTATTGTCTTTTCAAACTTACAAGCAAACACAAGTACATGAAATTCCAAATGAGAAGTTGTAAAACTATTTTCCCATGTTCAGGAAATCTGGAGGTTCAACATTGCAATAGTAAAAATGTGAATTTTTCCATATCCTGATGACAACAAAGGGACATATGTTGTACAAACACCAAATACAAGTACTATTACCAAATTATATAATCCATATCAAGGTTCGTGATTTCGTACCATACCGGAGTATCGAATTCAGCTCGGTACAGTATGGTATGAGTATACCAAGCGATATGCTCTGGCATACTACTCGACGTATGTATATATATATATATATATATATATATATATA